AGCTATGTATGTCTGACTAATACTAACTACAGGCTAAACATGTATATCGACTACTGTTATCACGTCGATAGAGATGTCTAACCTGCTGTTAGTGTTGACCAGACATTGAGTAACCGGCTTAAGAGTGGCTCGAGTTGAGTTATTTTTGGAAACTGATTTCATGGACAAATCATGCTCAAATTTAGCTATTCCTTAAAACCATAGAACGTCAGAAAAGATCTTGTGTATCGATGTCTAATCCGAAAAGTTATCTGCATTAGAATACTTGTAAGCAGATACATATGTATATCTTTGTCACTTAAAGGCTATTTATTGGATTGAATTTATAAGTTTCGCGAACTTCTAGATTTTCTTGGTTGGAACTTTTCAGGTAATTGTTAATATTGACTTTTAATTGTTGTTAAGCAACCATCATCATAGAATTCTCTGGCGTCTCTAAGATAGTAATGCTTATCTTGACTTTTCGAGCTGGCCACGCGAAATTTTTTACTACATCGCTTAGCCCACCAACAGTATTATGGTGTTTAGTCAACCTGTACTTCAGAGTTTTGTGGCATTAAACATAGGTTTGAAACGTTAAACTTATTTTTTTATTGTTAGGCATCATTAGAAAAAAATTATAAATGATTGTCACGGGCGGGACACGATAAAACGTTTCAAAATCTCTTAAGTAGGTACTTATAATATAATAAAAGAAATGAAATAGGGCTGCTTAGTATAAACACACTCTAGTTATGAAATTATAGAAAACTCCCTAAAGTAGTAACTAAGCAATACGAAGTTTAAAACTTTTTAGTCACGGGTTGGACATGCTAAACCGTAGTGATTTTATCCTATTATATAATTTAAATGCCTATTTTTCTTCAATGCAATATTGCTTCTTCGGGGCGCAGAAAGATCGAGACATTTATTCCCCCCTTCAAAAAAATAATAACTTTGTGAATACTTGATTTTGCAGAGCCTTCTATATTAAAATATGTTGTCGTATTCAACTACTTTTCTAATGTTGAAGTTTTGAGTGTATTTACAGTGTAATAAAATAATATAACTAAATTTTTTTTCGAAAAAACGTTAATTTCAGGTATTGAGCATTGATTCATCAAGCATTCCATGTTCAATAAGCTACTCTACAATTGGACACAAAGTTTCACTTACTCATGGAATACCCCTATTGCATTTGGTACCCATATTTTTATTCTACATTGCATTGAATTTTTTAGATAATTTTTGGAATTAATCATATCTTTGAAATTACAAAGTGCTTTAATATAAATCCTAAAAACGCCACTTTAAATAAAAAAGTAGTAGTAAAAGTAGTAGTTATGGTAGGAGAGATCGAAGGAATTTTTTCTATTAAGTTGTTTAAAAATAATGAATATCTAAATCCCGGGACAAATCCAGGGACTAATCCCGGGATCCCGGAATTGTGATAACGGCGTCCCAAAAATCCCGGGATCTGAAAAAGCTGAAAAATTAACATCCCTAATTTGCACCGTGTGCGCTAGCTAGCCTTCTCCCCCACCCTCCCAGACAAATCTAGAATCGCCACAGCATATACATACATATATGTATGTACATGTGTACATACAGATGTTGGCGACCCATGCATTGTTGCCGTCTGCTTGTGATGAGTTGAATTATTATTTCTAGGTATGTATGTATGTATGTATGTATGTATGTATGCACGTTTTTTACACTTTTTTCGTCACGGGATGTAAAAAAAACCATCTAGCGCTATTGTTGGGTGGTAGTGCACGTATGTGTGTGTGCATGCACTCCACACAAAATCATCAACTCGACTTTTTCATGTTTCCATTGATGGTTCTTCTTGCATTGCATGGCTGGTTGCCCCGTTCGTTGTTGCCAACTCTTTCTGGCGTATGCAAGCGCACTCGTTCAAGCGTTGCGCCAGCGAGTCGGTTGCCTCTGGTTGCAGCAATTCGTTTAGTCAAGTATGAGTAGCATTTGTTGATGTTGTTGTTGCTGGTGTTGCTTTTGGTTTTGCTGCCACTTCAATTGTTTTGCTGTCGCTTGCATTGTTGTTGTTGTTGTTGCCGCTTGCGTTGTTTTTATGTTGCACTCAAATTGCTGTTTGACTGCATTCCATTGAAACTTTCTCACAGTCTGCTGCAAATGCCCCCAAGTTGTTGGTGGTGTGGCATTCGCCGCGTACGTCCCTGTTGCCGTCATCGTTGTCGGTACGGTTGGTTGGTTGCCTTTTACTGGCTGGTTCGCGCTACTACATAGGTTGATTGTTTGCTGGTAACTGGTGCCGCCGAGTGCCGAGTTCCTAGTATTGCCCAACGACTGGCTTGACTCCATTGGCTTGGCTTTGGTTTTGTAGTTGTTGCTGCTTTTTTGCTTGCTAACAGCAATTTCTCGTAGTTGCTGCTGCAATTGCAATGTTGTTTGTTGGATACCTACATGAAACCCAATCCAATCCAATTCACATACAATCGCCTGCTTCGAGAAAATACAATATGCTGCTTGCCTGACTTTTGGCGACTGGCTGTTGTAAGTCAGTTGGAAGGAATGGATTGAACGGACGTTCAGATGAGTAGGTATGCGTTGTTTTTGTTGGTTTCGAAATTTTGTCTTTGTCGGCAATCCTTTTCAATTTAAATTGCAGAAAATCAATTTTCGGCAGTCAAATATGGCTTGCAATTATTATTTTTTTTAATGAGCAGAATCTAATTTGGCCTTAAAGCCCGGCAAGGTAGTTAGTTCACTACATTTCTTACGAAGCTCAGAGATTTCTCAAGGAGTACGCAAAAAGGGGGTGAATCATAAGGTTTGTTTTTTACATTTTCGGGCAAATGCTCTCACTAAAGTGAATATACTGCCCCGAACCACGAGAACGTTGAAAACCCAAGCCGAAACTAAACGTGGCCAACGAACGCAATAACGTTGGGTTTCTTCACTTATCAATCAAAGAAAAACAGCAATATTTATTGGTTAAAATTTGAATTTTTATAATTCTTCCTCTTCTTCTGGCAGTTTGACAGTTTTCACAAACTCGCCCGGAAAAATTGTTCGGGTGATCTCGGGCTAGTGAAAAACAAAAATTACTCTTTCAAAGTGGCTCTCAAAAGTACGAGAACCAACAAAATGGACACTGTCAGGCACTCATGGGCTAGCAAAAAAAAAAAACAAACCTATTAAATTTTAAAATAATCTTTTAATTTTTCTGCAGTCTCTAGATATCATCACTGCACGTTAAGCCCTAGTTAAAGTCAACCATACTAAAGTTCATCAAGTAAGCAATTTACAACTAGGATCGTTAAAATATAAATAGAAAGCTGAATAACTATTTTATTACTTAATTGTCTTCTACTTTTAATTGTTGACAAGTCTGTACGTACAGAATTTTGTGGCCGCAAGGTGAAAATTTTTCTGTTTTTATAGAAATCATATTTGAGATTAACCCGTAAACAATTTCGACTTGTTACATAATGCTTTCCGAAAATTTTTCATTGCCATATTTTCCCAAAAATTTTCTCTTATTTCATATGTATTTACCACAACCGAAAATATTATTTTCTTTACTTTACAAACGCTATTGTACGCCTCTTCTTTCCTGCAACTCGCCCAATACGCAACCAATTTTCATACCGTGCATATATATACATAAGTTTGCTATGTTGCCACATTTCACTTCAACGCCATATAGTGAATTTTTTCTTGCATACAATGGCTGGCTTGAAAAAAAAAGAAAATCGCAATTTAAACAACCACCTCCACACCGCAGAGTGAAAGCCAAGGCAGCATGTTATTATGCGCTTTTCGTCTGACAATACCCCTTTCCCCTCTACCGAAGTAATACCACAATATTGCTACTAACTACGTTGCAACATTTAATAAAAAGTCTATTCGTACAATCTTTTGCGCCGTTCAGCGAGCTCGTCTACAACTAGCTGGTCGGTGGCGTAGCCATCGCCGTTTTTCGCCGCCGAGGTCGTTCATCGTAGGGTTCATTGATTATTGTGTATATACATTAAAAAACCCCACCGTTCAGGGCTCTCTAAGATGGTCATTATGTTGTTGCATGTTTTTGCGGTTGCATTCACATCCTCCTGGTCGTCGTCCTTGCCGGGTTTGCGTCGTTGTTGTCGATGACATTTATGTTGCTGGTCGTTGGCTGGCCGCCATTACTGTGCTGGAAATGTCCTGCGCAGCTGAATGCATACACTACGTTCCAATGGCACTCAGCGTGTGATTTATGACTCGTAAAAAGCATACACTTTCTTCCCAGCAGCGTCAACAACCCTTAGCGTAAATAGAGATTTGCGAATTCTCCATTAGCAAAAAAAATATGTGTACTTACTTACGGTCGCGGTCGTAGCGACTTGACGGCTGGCTTTGGTTTATGGTCTACCCTATATCTCGGTTGGTCGTCGGTCGTTGCTCGCTTATGAGTAATTTTCCGGCTTACGCTTACACGACGTGTAGGTACTCTGCACTTGTGTTGCATACTCCAATGCAGTGTCCGAATGCTCCAGCGTGCACTGTTCTTAGCCACAGTAACTTCTTAGCTTCGGTTGCTCTGAGCACGTTCGTCATCTCATCATCGTTGACGTAGTACTCGTTCGGAAAACGCCCGTAGCGTTTTGTCGTCGACGCGCTAATGCTGAAGCTTAACAAAATTGCGTGAAACTTCGCGGTGGTCGTCATCGCTGCCGCTAGCACTGCCGCCGGAGGCCATACACTTTAGCCCCCTTCCCACATGCAGGAAGTTTCTTGCAGCTGCAGCTGCTGCTGCTGCTAACACCTTGGCTGGCTGAGAGCAACGAGCATGTGTATGTGTACATAACGGGCAGCTGTCTGGCGCTAAGGGTGCTGCATGCTTGAGATTCCACCCCTAATCATCACTACCTACCGTCGTACGTACACTCATGCAGCGTGGCAATAGTGTCCTGCGCCGCAGCATTTTTACTCGCTCATTTTGCGTTGTTCGTCCTTAGCTTGGCTCATCATTTCCAGGATTCAGTCATCAAGCAGCCATCGTCAGGATACATCAGTCATAGTTACAGCTATCGGAAGTTAACACGCAGAAAATAAATTGTATAGTAAATATATACCGATTATTCTCTCTTAACTTGCCAAAAGTGTAAAATAAGAAAGGAAGTGAAAATAAAAATGGCGCCGCTAGTCACTGCCTTCGTGTAAAGCATTTATTGTTGAATGGTGACTTCGTCAACTTTCATGTATACATACTACGTATAATCGTCGTCGTTCGTGTTGAAGGTACATACTAGGCAAACAATTTTAAAGTGAAAAAATATTGCATGCAAAAAATATTACATAATTTTGCAATTGTGTACTAGCTGCACAAATGTATTATTTTCAAGCGTTAATTAGATACAAATTATTTGTATAAAAACTAAATAGTGCATAGCATGAATATTTCTATGGAAAGAGGAAGTGAGTTGTGGCTTTGGGGGTGAAGTGGTTTTTTTCTACGAACGAAAATACATATGTATGTAGTTTAGTAGTCATAAATAATAATATCAATAAACCAATAAGCTCTTAACTGGAAGGCGAGCAAAAAGCGTTTCTACAAAGTGGCAATCGATACCGCTTGAAAAAGAAAAAAATTTTATTTTGACTTGCTTCGTTTTGGGTGCATGTATAAACATACATACATATGTACATATTTCAAATATGTACATATGTACACATCGTCTTCACCAATGTAAAATACCGTAACTGAAAAATTTGAATTTTATAGAAACAAAAAATTCTTAAATTAGCTTAGGAATTGCTTAAGCTATCAATAAATCTTTTTTAAATATAGTTTTTTCATTTTGGTATGAGCTGCCCAGTTTTCTCCCCCTTTCAATCCAATTATGTACTATTTATCCGACAAATTTTGCTAAGCAATGTTCTAGCGAGTGGAAAACGGGAGGGAGCATGCAAAATCTTCAACCCTTTTTCGATAAATTTCAGTTTTTACACTTGAAAAAAAAAACGTCAGTTTCGAATAATTAACCTCTGGCAAATGGCTTTGAACGTGTTAAGAAAGTCGCAAAACTTTCAAATTAATTTTGAGTAAGAAAAAATGATTATCGAAGGTATTTATTTCGTTTAATTTTCTGGTTTCTCATACATACAAATATATTTTTTATTCGTCGATGGCTTTGTCTATTTTTTATATAATTGATTTTTTTTTTTCATTAAAAAATAGAATTTTTAAAATTTAATAATTTACAATTTTTTAAATACATTTTTTTAATTTTTTAATATTTTTTTTTTTTAATTTACATTTTTTTATATTTTTTTGGAGTTTTGTTTATAATTTTAAAGTCTTAAACAATTTTTTCACAAGTTAGTGTTAATTCCGATAATTTGTATTATATAAATTTTTTGTATTAAATTTGTAAGTTCTTTTAATTTTGTAATTTTTCTGATCTTTTTTTCCAGTGTACACAATCTTTTGAGAGATATGTATTTAATTTTCTAAGTTTTTATTAACTGTTCATTAATATGCGACAACCGAATGCTTTCAGAAAACGCATTCGCAGGCCCAGTTGTGCGCGAGACTTAGGAGGCAACGGAACGTATAGAATGTAAATTTTAGTTTTTTATTGTCGCAAATAGTATAAAGAGCAAAGCGAAAATATAGGAACACCGAAGCATAATACAACGTAAATAACACGAGAAAAGAAGTACAAAAACTAAGAAAAATAATTAAGTATACAAATTTAATAAAATTTTAGTAAGAGTGTAAGAAATAAAATAATTGCAATTAATACATGAACAAGTATAAATGTAAAAAATTAATATGTAATAAAAATAAATAAAACTTACTGAAGATTTATTAGAAAATAAGAAATAAAATGTAACAAAAAATTTAAATTAGATATAAAAAATAAAGCTAAAAAGAAAAACAAATTAAAAAAAAAAACACAAAGTGGGTAAGAAATAGAATAATAATATATAAAAAACAATATTCAAGAAATAATATAAAAAAATATTAAATAAATAAAAAAATTAAGTAAATAAAAAAAATGAATAAAAAAATAAACAAAAATTAATAACAAATATAAAAATTAAATAAAAAAGAAATTAATAAAATAAATAAATTAATTAAATATATAACTAAATAAAAAATGTGTAAATTAAATTAAAAATAATTAAATCAAACATGTTAATAATTGAATTAAAAATAATTAAATCAAAAATTTCATTAATTACATTAAAAATTTAAATTAATTAAATTAAAAATATTTAAATCAAAAATTTCAATTAACTAATTTGTTAATGTGCAAAATAACCTGAAACTTTATCATTGAAACTAAGACATGTTTAAATATTCTTACTTTTATTTTGTTTGTTTTGTATTTAAGTTTAACTTTTTGGATGAATGCAAACCTTGTAGCAAATATGTTGCACAAAATTTCACTGAGTGTCGAATTTTTTATCGTGATAAAGAATTATTAAAGCGAAATTTTAGAAAGACATTATTTTTCTTGTGAATGGGTGTGTGAGTAATGCGGATTGAAGGCGCCAACCACTATCTTATCTTTCAAAAACGTCGAGCTTTGCGTTATCTGTTACCAACTTCACTCTCGTTCTCATTGGCGAACAATATCAATTATTTATGAGGGTGGTCAGACAATTTACAATAAGTATACCTACTACACCTTCGAGGTCTATGCCCTACTCAAAAACTCCGTCGTAGACTACATAATACGAGTATATACGCACTTGTTGCAATGCAAATATTTCAACAGGGCAAGCATATGAGCACTTGGTCAATAGCGTTCTGTAAAGTAGAAGCAACAATTCTCCTTATCTAGTAATTTTATAATTTCTTGTCAACAATTTTTATCTACTTTTAAACTTATCTATAAATTTATTAACCATACCTTTATTATTTTCATTGTTCTTTCAGACTTGTACCCGCAACAGCAGCAATAGCCGCAGCTCGTATACACTATTACCAACACTCAGTAGTAGACTTTTCTCCCGTAATCAAAGTAAACGAGAATATCAGCAAAATGTCTGAAACCATAACCGAGAAACCTTCCACCTACAAAGCTAACAACCCGAACCATCACTGTTTGAGGTCGTACTTTTGTCCAACATTTTTCTACACAAACAGCTACGACGTAACGGATAATAAAACGAATGAAATGTTCCATCACCAATGGAAACCGGAACAATTTACTATGGATGAAAAATATCAACGTGAAGACGAACGCTTAAAGACATTTGAAAACTGGCCATTGGAGTGGCTGAATAAGAAGGAATTAGCGCAAACTGGTCTATTCTATACGGGCGAAGATGATAAGGTGAAATGTTATTTCTGTGAAGTTGAAATCGGTCGTTGGGAGCGCGAAGATCAGCCCGTTAATGAGCATTTACGTTTTTCACCCAATTGCCCATTGCTGAGACGTCGCACAACCAACAATGTCCCGCTCAATTGTGAAACACTGAATCGCGTCTTACCACCCATTAGTTATGATGTTTGTGGCAATGAGGGACTCGAATTGGAAAATGAGGCTGCTGAGCCATCAGTAGGGGCTGGCGCTGAGGAGGGTCTGACGACGACAGCACCCGTTGGCGTTACTTACCAATATGATAGCATAGCGAGTGGCCATGCGACGCATAACAACTCCAACGTCAGCAACAACAGCAGCAGCAGCAGTAGATGTGGCAACGAATTGCAATTATATCGACCAGAGTATCCTGAGTACGCTATCGAAGCGGCACGTTTACGTTCGTTCGCCGAATGGCCACGCAACATGAAACAGCGGCCAAAGCAGCTGGCCGATGCTGGCTTCTTTTACACCGGTATTGGTGATCGTGTCAAATGCTTTAGCTGTGGTTGTGGCCTCAAGGATTGGGATGATGACGATGAACCATGGGAACAGCATGCGCTCTGGTTACCTAAATGTCGTTACTTGAATCTGCTGAAGGGCCAAAGTTTTATTGACAGCGTTGCGGCCAAGTTCAAAATGAATAATGGTAAAACCGCAGATGCAGCACCAGAATCAGATGAACATTGTCCAGCAACGGAGGCAACGCTTGCCGCAGCAGCAGCAGCAGCTCAATCACCGGCGGTGCCGTGTACAACAACCGCAACAACGGCAGCAAATGATAAGACGAATTCCACACAGGCAACAATCGCCGAGGAGAAGCTCTGCAAGATTTGCTATGCTGATGAATACAACACGGCGTTTTTACCCTGTGGTCATGTAGTGGCTTGCGCCAAGTGCGCGTCCTCGGTCTCGAAGTGCCCGGTCTGCCGAAAACCTTTTACAAATGTGATGCGTGTGTTTTTTCCTTAATCATCTATAAACACTATTTATTAAACTGTAGACTAACCCGCGTTGTAAATAATAAAAACGTTAATATGCGGTCATTCGGCCAGTTGTAGTTTATGTATATGCCCCCCCAAAAAAAAAAACAAAGAAATAGCTACGCTGCAACTGGCCGAATAAAAATATATTTATGTAATTAATTACTTATTCTTAAAATAAATATAAAACCATAACAATTAAATAAAAACAAAATACTGTAGTCTTTCATTTCCGCAATGTTGATGGAAGAAGGCGCTTAGAAGGCATATCATTTCAGCTACTTACATAAATATCTAATCATGTATAAGTACCTACATACGTAAATATATGTATGTGCAAGTACTCGGTGGCTGGCACAGCGCTCTACGGACCGCCCACACATAAAATCCAATCTCTATTCGCATTGCAATTCTATAGCGCGCATATTGTATGTCACAGCATCTAAAAAAAAAAAAAAAAAACAACTTAAAGGAGAACCAAACGCAGCCACTCAAGCTTCGTGCCACTCGGTTGTTGATGATGCTTACGCAAACTTGTTGGCTTTTGAGACTTGGCTTGGCTGGCTGGGCTGCCAGTGTGTGTGGGTTTTCTTTGAAGAACGCGATGCGTCAGCGCCAGTTACGCGGTCGTTTGGATGCTGGTAAAGTAGATAAAAATTGTCGCATAAATAAATAAATAATTGACTTGCTCTTGTTGCACACAAACTCACACAAACAAACGCTTATTGTGTCGTTCTGAAAATGCATTGGCTTTTTGCTGCCATATACGGAAACAGCTCAATGAAGGTTGTCAGCTTTAAAATGAAATTAAATAATAATTAAAGTTTGTACATAGTTGGAAAGGGGGCGGGGTGGTAGTACATAGTTGATTGCATGGCGTAGGTCGTAGTGCGCGCATAGTTTCCAATAATTAAATGTGCTTATATTCGGCGGTTCTAATGTATTTAGCTGCATATAATCGGAGATAAAAAATATGAATTCGTGAATTTTTAATGTTCTATACTATGTATGTACATTAGACCGTACCAGAAAAAAAGTTCGCTTTGCACCTCTCGAGTCCTAAAGTATTTTTGCAAGGCAATTTAGAATTTTTTTTAGAAATTTTGTTGGTTCCAAAGTTCATTGATCTCATCTACCATGTTTTGGTATTTTCCACTTACCCTTCCTTGAGCGAAGAATAGCTGAAATTTAACATTTGTTTACCGAAAGCAAAAACAAAATAGGTTTGTTGTTCATGTAAAAATTATCTAGTAACTTTCCATCAACTCACCTAATTTCTGAGAATTTGTTGTCATAGAGAAAAGTATCCAAAAAGTACGTGAACATAAACCAGTAAAAATTTGAAAGTTTCATGAAAAGCTTATAAATTTGTGGTTTATTCGTAGCAATTTCCTAATAAACAGTCTTATTTTTTGTCAATTTGAACTTGTAGAACGCCATAAATAATTTCCTTATTCGTTTCAATTGCACCCAGCAACATGCGATCAGCTGTTTTCTCGTTTGCAAGTTTTTACTGGCAAAAATGTGTCCAGTAAAAATTTGCAACTTCTTCTAGAGAACTGTCATTTTGCTCTTTCAATTTCCCATACTTTGCAAGTTTTTTGGATACATGAACACCAAAACTAGATATTTTTTGATAACTTTTGAAAAATTTTGACTACATGAACAGGCATAATTGAAGTAAGTTTTTTGTTTTTGTACTACCGCTACCACCTTATGAATTCTTCTTGGTGTCACCAAAAAATGTAAAAGGGCAACACGTGGATCTAGTGAAAATCAATTTTTCGAAATGGCCTTGCAAAAATACTTAACAACTCAGGGCGAACTTTTTTGTTTGCTTGGAAGGTGGTACGGTCTAATGTACATATGTATGTAGACCCCCACAGTATTTAGACCCCTGCTCAAGGGAGCTAAGTCATGACTTGATGTGGTTATCATTTGATTGAGTCTAAGGCGGCCGAGAAAATGAGTCTCGATGATTGCCTGATTTTTGATGTTGTCCAAATTCGAAGTATACGATGTTGACCAGAATGAAGTTGGATAAGAGTTTGTCTATAATTATACCCACTGGAGCTTTAACGATATACCGGTTGACGGTGAGCAGATGAAGGAGGTGTAGATGAAATGATTGTCGTCGATTGGGTATAATCGCGGCACGTTTTGGCCGACACGAACGGTTTGTTGCGGATATACGAGCATAGAATATATGTGCATCACCAAAAAAAGTTGCGGTTTTTCCGCCGGGATTACAAAATTGATTATATTTTAAGACGTCCACCAAAATTTTTCGGAAAAATATTAAGATTAAAGCGAGTTGGACCGATTTGAAAATACCTCCAAAAATGAAGCTTTTTATGAATAAAAATAGTATCTTAAAGAACTTTTTGAAAAAAGTCCCCTCAGATGACAAATTAGATTAAGCTTAAAAAATCTGCATACAAATATTTAAAAATCTTTTCAACGGAATCGTAAGAATGAAATTTTTGATGCTGTTTTTTTACATTTTTCAAAGATTGGTTTACGAAAAACTTGAATAACTGGGCCAAAAATGTTCTGATTTAGAATTATGGGATCTCAGTAGAAAGGTATTTTCACACTGTGTTTATTTCTGGCCAAAAAAACGCCATTCGTGTCCCATCTTGTTTTTTCGAATACCAACACATCTTAATTCCACTTTAAATTACGTTCGTTCATCCTACCTTTCTCTTCCATCGTTTGAATGATTTTATTAGCAAAGAAATAAAAAGGATGAGAAAATACCTTTCCAATGATATCTCACAAGTCTAAATCGGGAGAGTTTAGGCTCAGTTATTCAAGTTTTTTTTATAACAATCTTTGAAAAAAGTTAAAAACAGCATCAAAAATCTCATTATCACGATTGCGTTCAAATTTTTTTAAAAATTTTTAAAAATATTTTTACGCAAATTTTTTAACCTTAAACCGTTTTGTCATTTGAGGCGATTTTTTCAAAAAAAAATTTTTAAGAAACTATTTTTACTCATAAAAAACTCAATTTTTGGAGGTATTTTCAAATCGGTCCAGCTCACTTAAATCTTAATATTTTTCCGAAATATTTTGGTGGACGTCTTAAAATATAATAGATTTTATAGTTCCAATGGAAAAATAGTACCGATTTTTTTTGTATGGGGAGTGATGCAGTCTAATGTACATAGTAGGACCATGTAAGTTTGCTTAATTATTTTCATTGTAGTTGACAAGTAGGTGTCCATAGACAGCACTGATGAAACTTGCAACACCGCTGCAATTGCCTGGTATATTAGCCAAGTTCCATGTCTTCAGACATGTGGAGTATAAATACTTTGCGCAGCACAGCACATTTTTGGATAGAAAGAGATCTGGCGACGCTCGATTTGGAGGCAACGTGTTGTTACAACAACACAAATAATAGTAAGAGCCTTTATAGTGGTCCGGTTGCAACCACAATCATCATCAGTAACGGAAACATAATGCACATAAAGTTTTATTCCTACAAAAAAAATCTGATCAGCATGCGGCAACGGTCAGTAAAACACTATCGCAACTTCTCTTCAAATCAGACCTATATGAAATCTGAATTCCTTCAAGGGAAACCGCGCGCGTTCTGGGACTATGACTGGGGTTGACAAATGAAGGAGAAGATGACTAAACCACCAACTTAGCTGAAGATTGCTGCGTAAACAGCTAAAAAGAGAGTAGCCATTAGATAAACTTACGTCTTGTACTTAACGAGAAGGTATGTAAGTTGTAAAATCGTTAATTATCATTATAAAATTATTGATTTGAATAATCTTCTCTTTTATTGTTTCACTAGTCCTGTACAGCTCTCCGAAAGATTGCCCGTTTTTTTCATTCTACAACTACAATCAAAGAATATTCACCTTCATTTTCGAAAAAGCTTAAAACGCATATACATATAGCATGAAACACTTTGCAGCGCACTTTGCCTCTGTTCACCCGTCTCAACTTATTGCAACTTGCCAAATGCGTATATCGCATTGCCGAATATTTACTGCAACACCAATAAGGCATTAGAGAAGACGCATATAAGGCAAAATATGCACTTCGGTATGTATGTATTTACGTTTGTCTGTATTAATCATACATACATACATTTTTTTTTTTTTACTTTTAGCATGCAAACATTTAAGCCAGGCACAAACTTGTATTCAGCTACAGCAGCATTGATTACTTATTGTGATGAATCACACTGGCGGGAATTTGCGTTTTGAGCTCATGGCGTATAAAATAAACATATGATGTATTGAATATTGCATTTACATTTAGCTATAAGCGTAAACATGTCGAATATATGTATATGCACTTTACAGTGTAGCCTGGCTAAAGGGAACAAAGGGATAAAACCAATCGAAAAAGTACAAAGTAATCGAGGCGTTATTTCTATAGAAGAAAAGTGCATTGCTTTTTAAAGAGATAAAAAAGATAATTTAAATTATACCGCCCTAAAAAAAAAATAAAAATCTAAAGAGCGATAGACCAGCAGCCGGATTCCAACATTCGCTATCGCTGATTACGATCGCCACTTGTACTCTTGATGTGCTCATCTAGGTATTACTCGACTATTTTTTATGCGATTTTAACTTTCAATTATATTTTGGAAAGATGATTTAAAGACTTTTTATATGTATGTAGTATATAAACCTGTTGTTGGACTTAAGGCTGCGTTCTCAAGTAGCTTTTAAAATTTATCTGCCCTTCAAATAGATTTTTTGAGAACAAAATTAGTGTTGAAAGCAGGGACCGAAAATACCTATTAAATACCAACATATTTAGTTTTAGATAATTGGAAAATCGTTGTTTTTAAAATTTTTTTTTAAATTAAAAATAATAGTTAAAATTTTATTTTTATTTTTTCGCTTATTTTTAACCGTTATAATCAGTCTGCTTTTTTATGAGCATTTCAAATTCTTTGTGATATAAAAAATAATAATATATTGAAAATAATGGTTATGGGATGACCGAAAAAACTAAAAATCCAAAAATAACGATTATTATATATTTTTTCAATAAAAATCAAAATTTAGCGATTATTTTTAATCGGAAAAATATAAACTCAATTTTAACAATAAAATTATGATTTTCATTATAAAGATCATAACCGTTACGGTCCCTGGTTTAAAGGGAAGATAAATTTTAAAAGCTAACTGAATCAAAGGTGCTTAGACTAATAACTGCAATAGCACAAATTTGGCAGCTTTCATTGAACATTTTGCAATAAACGATGATCAGAGTTAAAATATTAAAACAAAATATGAGTTATTTCAGCGATTCAAAATAGAAAAGATATAACTATGCTGGTCTGCCATTTGAGATTATGTTTTTGTAGGGCGGTGTTATCTAATAAACAGTCAACACCCTACAACACCGAAAACCATAACGTAAAAGCTTTCGATTATCTCCTTTTGCTTCTGTAGAGTATAAAAATATTTTGAGCAAAAAAAAAAAACACTTTCAATCCTCTGACCAACAGTTCATTGGCAGTACTATGTAGATGGAAATAACCTGGATAGAAAAGCGAGATATTCACCCCTATTGCGAGTGTCGACTAGTAGTAGATAAACGACTATTATTCGATTATCGCTTTTCCATAGTATTGTGAATGTCGATTTTTCGTTCAATAAGCAACTGTGACTAGATTTTAATCGCTCGTCCTTCTTCAACTGTTTGTTTGTTGAATGATAAACGCCTATAAGTTATTCACACTAACTCATTGAATGAGACAACGACGTTCACAATACCATGGAAAAGCGATAATCGAATAATAGTCGTTTATCTACTACCAGTCGACACTCGCAATAGGGGTGATTGATTTGAAAATGTTTTAAAAGGAATTGCCACCTATAAAAGCAATTAAACAAATTTATGTAGCATAAATATATGCTATGAAATGTAAGTTGTCTTTTATACTGAAATTTTGTGGTACCTTGACACAATAAGCAACTTTTCTAAATGACATTTTATTCAAACTCTACTAAAATTCAATAGGATAAAACACCGCAGACCTATTTTTTTTTTTAATATCCGAAATGGTACTTTTTGTTAAATTTTTATACAAGGTTTAAATTTGGATTTGTTTGACGCCTATTTTTATAAAAAAGTAGTAAACAATAAATAAAGTGCATAAGTGCATAATAAAGAATTTTGTAACATATTTTTCCCATAAAATGTAAATGTACATATACATAAGTAAATTTTGTATAGACTTCCTCCATCAAATGCAAGAATTCCGGCAGCCCTCCAAGGTGCAGAAACGATTCTCATTCCCTCCACAGCCGAGATAATTCAGACGCTCACATCTTTGCGCCCTTTCATTGAAGTGCCACATTTGTCTGGGCTGACAGCCACGACCGGATGTACCAACATTCTTTGGCTTCAGACATAGTTGGGTTGCTAAATTAAGGGTAAATAATAATTTTTATTTATTAAAAATATATTTTCTATCAAAAGTCAAAGGGCTTTTACGTGGCCTTCCAGGACATTGTACATCTTGCGCCGCTGCTAGTGTGGCCAGCGCAAGTAAAACGAAAGCGACAATCCATATGAATTTCATTGTTGTTTTACTCATGTTAATAAAACTGATTAAAATGTAAATTTTCTTAAAGTAACCGCCTTTTATATGGCCGGCTTTCAGAAAAATACTTATTTAATTAATGTGAGATTATTTAAAACACGCTGTTTATAAATACAAATACTATATTTATGTATGTATGTATATATGTGAAGACATACACTGTACATTAAGCTGGGTCATGACAAAATTACTTTTATGCAATTTATGCATTTATTTATTTAACACTTTGTGTTATATATATATGCAAAAATTCTATTCACGACGCTCAGTAAACACTGTCATGGGAAGTCAGTAGCAACCCTTTTGAAATTTTTTTTTTGAGCAACGTATTTTTGAACACTTCGTTTGATTAAACGTTGTAAATTCTTTCTTCATTCAAATTTTTTGAAGTGCCTTCTAATAAAAGGTGCAATCCCGTATTCCTCGGACTCGGACTAGTAAAACTGTCAAAAAATAAAAATTCGCTCAGAGCGAGAGTAACATTGAAAAGTACGGGATCGCTTTCTAGTAAAAAATGGTAAATTCTGTCAACTTCAACATAACCTCCAAATTTTGGGTGGAAAATTTTGCTTATTTTGTATGTAAACACACTCAGGTCACACATGTAAATAACCAAATATATTTTCAAATTCATTAGAATCCACTTAAACAAGTAATTAAATACTTTTCAACATGAATTAGCAGAGTGCACTTTTCTTTTGTTTACAATTTGGCTGCCAAACACACTACAGCTGATCGTTTGACACATTTACCAGAATTTACCAGCAAAAAATTCTCGGACTAAAACTGGTAACTTCTGACAGAGAGAGAACCGTATTTACTCTCTTTTTTGTCCTCTCAATAGTCAGAGAACCGAGTACGGGATCGATTTCCAGTAAAATCTGACTGATTCTGACTATTTCTGACTAGTCCGGACTCGTACGGGATCGCAACTAAAGTTTCCTCAAACACTTTTAGTTTGGTAGCCATCTTTGCAATACTTAATTTAATTTCAATATTTTAAATTTCGACTTTTTATATAGGTGACCCCTTGAAAAATATTTCTTAACCAAAAAGTTTTCAAATACCTTTCCTTTAATACCCAAATTGCAGCAATTCATTGATCTTATCCATTTTAGTGAATGAAAATTTTCAAACAAGTGGCAACCCTATTCAAAAATATTTTCCAAATTAAGCTTTCTCAAACCAATTTACTTTGACACTCATATAACAGCATTTCATTATCCTCACAAATTTTAATAAATTACATTTTTCAAACACTGGCAACCATGTTCAAAAATATCTTCAAAATTATGATTTCTTAAACCTCTTTAGTTTGAAACCCGTACTGCAATATTTCATTTATCTTATAACTTTAATTGAAGTAAAATTATCAAACAGGTGACAAGCCTCCTAAAGTTTATTTTTCAACACTAAGCTCTCCTAAGCTTCATTTGATGCCCATATTGGAAAAATTAACTTATCATTTTATTATTTTATTATTTTAATCATGTGGCAGCTCTACTTTTTTTTTAAATCATTCGCATATAACGAACCAAAAAAAAAAAGTTTTCAAATTAATCAAGCCGTTTTCGAGCTTTTGTACGACTAAATAACGGGCAGCGATTCATTTTTATATTCGGGTAACTGTAAGATAAGAAGCTGGGCATCGACCCGGTCTAATGTAAAACACATATGAATGCTTGGAACCATATTTACTTATACATATGCAACGACAGCCTACACTTTAGTAAACCTGATTTGCTTTGTATTGCTAATGTTGTAAATGAGAATATAAAAAATGTTAAATCTGGGTAAGAACTAAATGAGAAATTATAAATATCAATAAACAGCTTTTGTAAGTAAATTTAGTATGTATTATTAAAAATGTCTTTAATACTCGTATATGTATTTACAAAAAAAAAAAAACAATACTCTAGGAAATGTATTCGATTGTTAAATAAGTTCAGCAATTTTAAGAAACGTCCGAAGATGTAAGCGACGTGCCGTAGTTAGTATTGTTTGCAGTTTTTTTTGAACGGACTTCTTGTTTGGCGCTGGCACGCCAGTCGTCTCTCTTCTGTCGCCAATTGGAAATGCCAAGTGAAGCCAGTACCAATATGCAGAAAAGAGCATTCAGCTTACGTATCGTTTTGTTAAGGATTAGCCACGACGCCCATATGCCCCGAATTTTATTCAAACACTAATGGCATACAACTACTTTTTCGATAAAGTAAATTTGTAGTTCAAAATATATACTCTCTTTTTTATTTAAATTTAAATTTCTTTACCTCTTAAAAATACACCCTTTATTATATACTTATACCGGATGTTCACTGGGCATAAAGTGACACACAATGTTAATGATACATTTGGGCATTGAAAAACCGAGTGCCATTTTGCTGGACTTCCACTAGGCATTAAAGGGCAAAAAATGACAAACGACAAAGTCGGGCATTAAAAATAATCGTGTCATTACATTAAAAAAAATAGTCATTAAGTTCATTTCCACATGGCATTTTTTTAAATGACATACATTTTTTGTCATTTCAATGCCTGGTGAAAATTCGGCATTACATGTAATTTTTTATTGGTAGTTAAATTTTTCGTAAATTTTGTCATTTAAATGCCTAGTCTGAATTTGGCATTAGCAACTAAAGCAATGTTTTTTTTTTAATTGGATATTTCTCAACATTATGGATTATGTAAGTTATGTCATTGTTTGTAGCAACAATGCGCGCCATATGTATACGTACGAGTATATTCATTTTAATTTACACAATTACTAAACTAAAAAATTATTGCTTACGCTAATTACTTAAAATTTCAAAATTCACAAAGTTCTTATTAGCCATATTGAAAGCTTTATGCATGTTAGCATAAATGGCGACATCGATGATATTCGTATTGCTAAAATAATCGAGCGCTACAACATTTGCAGTTAAACTCCAAGGACCTTTTAGCCAGCTAGTGACTTTCGGATTCAAAATGCCAGCACGCTCTTTGGCAGTCTCCAGTTTTTTGTTATTCTGAAAGGGGAATGTAAGTATGTATTTGCATAGTTAACACAGTACGAACTCTTAGTTTCAAAAAAATTATAATTATTTTTTTTCTACCAACCAATGACTGTTCCATGCTGCGTGTCGCCTGAAATACCCAACCTTCATTTTGTACCGGTGATGTATCCTTTTTGCTAAACAACAAACGCATGTAGTCCAACACTTCTGAGGTGTTCATAAAAGCAGTGGAGAAACGTTTCCAATTGGGGCATAATATTTTCGACTCTATGCATAAAATTAAATTTTAGTTATAAACATTTATGGAAAAGGAATAAAATACCTTAATTAGACTTACCACTTTCGGGATATGGCAATTCCTGTACAGGATACAGAATTATAAGGTATTTATTATTCTTTCTAATTTCATCGATAGTCAGCTCAAAGCATTGCTTCATTCCTTCGCTGGCACTTGTATTTCTTATGTAGACAATATCACCGACCTCTTCGTGTAAAAGATGCAGTAGACTGCTATGGCGTTCAGGATGCTTGTAGAAGCCTTAAAAAAGGGTTTCGAAAGTACAACACGGTGAAAGTTAAAATCATTAGCTTAATACTTTTTTCTGGATTTCAAAAATTGATACCTGCTGTTTTTTCCAATATACTGCATTTATAGGAAAAAAAAACCCTTTTGCTACCTAATTTTTTAATGCACAGAAGTAGTATAAATTTGCCAGTCGTTGATACAAAACTATACAAGCTAACAGCGGATAATTCGTTCGGGTCAAAATTATCGAAGAAAGCATATAGCAAATTCAAATTCTACGATTAGCAAGCAAACATGGCGAACAAACTATATGACAAAACTGGCGTTTAACCCTCCCATTTTTCAAAAGAGAAAGTAATATATGTATTGTAATTTTTTTTTGTCGAAATTTGTCTTTCATTACAACAAAAAATTTGATACGAACTAAACGAATTTGTGAAGTAAATAGTTTCTTATGGCGTTTTCTTTTCTACCAAAAAATGTTGCCTTCTTATTGCCCTCTACGCACAACTACTAAGTAATACTAGATTTTTAGAAACTTTTGATTTTTGAAAAAATTTTGAGAATTGCAGAAATTCTAGCAAATTTTTTCTAAGTAAATGTGACGAATATACAAAATTGATCAAACGAAATTAAAAGTTTTCGAATGTTGAAAACATTTTCATATTTCGTGGTTTTATTTCCGCAATTCTTGAAGATTCAAAAAGTTTTTGGACGTTGATGTTTTTAAAAAAATTTAAAATTCTCAAACTTTGTTATATCAATACAAAATTTTGGAAAAGTTCGGAAGGGTGGACAATTTTTGGAATTTTTCAAAAATGTTAATATATTTAAGAATTTTCTAGGTTTTATACATAAGTACCATGAACATAAGAATTTTTCGACAATTTGTGATGTTTCACATTTTTACATTTTAGGATGGATTTTAGAATAAATATAATTCTCAAAATTTTGGAAAATATAAAAATTTAGAGAAACTCGCGGATTTGAAAAGTTTTTGAAATTTTGGAAACTATCCTAAATTAAGAAATCTCAAGAAATTTAATAATTTCATAAAATTCAAAATTTTGGAATTTTCGTTATTTTCTGAACCTGCGAAAATATTCAAACATGTGACTTTTAACTATGTAAAATAGTAATAATTCGAAAATACAACAAAGTAATAAAAAAAATACAATTAAGTAATTTCAAAATTTTGAAAATTCCGTAAATTCGAAGAATTGATAAGCCTACTCAAATAACATGATACTTCA